TCCTCCTCCTCCTCCTCCTGGACGCTGCCGCTTTGTTTCTGTCTCTCCTCCCGGGCAGGACCCGAGATCACCTGGACCGAGAAGTGCCAACGACGCTCCCCACCCCGCTTCCGAGGGACGCTGGATGCGCAGCTGCCCGGCCGGCCCCGGTAACCCCCTCTCCTCGTCCCTCGCAGCCCCTGCCCCGACTTTCGCTTCCAAGCACGAGATCTCAGCTTCCCCCAGCCCTGGCTCCACCCTCACCCCTGCCTGGCCTGAATCTGGTTGGAGGCCCCAGGAGGGAAGGGGAAAGTGGGGAAGTCCTGCCGCCGGGCTTAGGGCTGTCAGTCTAACAGGTCACCCGGACTGCTGGAATGCAAGGAACCCGGGCCCTGGAACTGTCGCTGGGGGGAAACTGAGCCACTTGCAGGACAAAGGCATATTGTGTGTACGGGCTTCCTTAGGGCTGTGACTTGTGCTAAGCCCTCCAGGAATGTTGATAAGAGATGATCAAATGAAAAATATTTGTAAACTCTTAGTCCAGTGCCTGGCACATAGTAGGTACCTCATAAATGCTTATTTCCTTCCCCTTCCCCCCAAAAAACCGCAACTCATTCGAGATAGGGATTTAGTTTGGGGACCTCCTCAAACCTTAATCTTCTAGGCATTTAACCAGCTCTTCTCCACTACAACCAAGCCAGATTTGGGGTCTTGAGGGTTTGGGTGCCAGCTTCCTCCCCGCCCCCTCTTTACAGCTGATTCACTTCAGCAGACCACTTTCTCTGGGCCTCAGCTTCTGCAATGATAAAATGAGACTGTTTGACCAAATGAATATTAAGCTCAGAAGTGGCAAACACTGGCTTTGGAGGCAGCAGATGGATTGGCTTGGGATGGCAGCTGCTACCAATCACTTCCCTTTCTAGCTGTCACTTTCCTTGTCTGTAAATTGAGGGATTTGGCCAGTAAACATTTATTAAGCACCTACTATATGTCAGGCACTGTGCTAAGCTCTGAGAATACAAAGAAAGGCAACAGACAGTCCCTGCCCTCAAGAAGCTCCCAGTCTTATAGGGAGGACATCAAAACAACTATGTACAAACTCGCTACAGGCGGGATAAATGGGAGCTGATCAGCAGAGGGAGGCAGAGGGGATTGAAGGGGTACAGATGACCTGTATGTATGTTGAAGGCAGCGCTGAGCCCAGACCTTTCTGACCCTTTAGGTCAGAACCCCAGACTTCTGAGTTATTATACAAGAAGGGAAACTGAGGCAGCAGAGCCATAGCATGGTGTAAATGATCAGAGAAGTAGCCAGTGTAGTTAGAAAGGTCCGGATGTGGAGTCTGGATCCAAAGTGGAGTCCCTGCTGTGCCACGTCCGTGGCATTGGACCACTCTCAGCTCTGTGGGCTAGAAATGTAGCTGTTGCTCTAGGTTGCTGATCTAGGTTGCTGGGAGTGATCCACAGGAAGCTGGAAGTTGGAGGCATTCTAGACCCATACTGTCCTTTTAGGAATATAACCGCAGTCCCTGTGCCCATCCTTGTAGGACTCTCTCCTTATTGGTGGAGGTGAACCCTGCCCCCCCCCCAGATAAGGGAACTGAGGCTGAGGGGGTGACAGATCTATTTGAGGTCACAAAGGTAGAAATAGCGGGAAGGGGCTTTGAAATGAAGTACCTTGATTTCCAATCCAGGGTTCTTTCTGCTCTACCCCTGCGGCCTTGTAGTCTAAATGTATGATCCTTCTGCTTTTCCTTCTTTCCACTTCTAAATCTGTGATCTCGTGACTTTTAGACCACATACTTGATCTCTCTGGGCCTCATTCCCCACATCAGATGAGGGGGTTGGCCTAGCTGTCCTCCAGGAACCCTCCTTCAGCCCCAAGACTTGTGATCTGCCTGGGGTTGGAGCTCCCTCCTCACTGTCTCCAGCCCAGCACCGGGCTTTCATTTAGAAGGTTCTGGAGTTCTTCTGTCTCTAACCCTAGGGCTCTCACAGAGTCCTCCCCACTCTTGAATTCTTAATCTCTGCTTGCCTCCTACTCTTCTGCCCACCTTCAGCTTTGCTATCTCACCCCATCCCCCTCCTCGGGCTGATCTCTGGTTTTTGGGAATCATTTTGTTTTTACTCTACACTGGCTTGAACAGTCAAAGGCTGTGTTTTCCAACTTTTCTTTCCAGTAAAAATGGACTTGGATTAACCATCTCTCCTCCAGATCTGCCAGTAGAAATGTTGGAGGTGACTGGAAGGTGGGAGGATGGCTTTGGTGCAAAGCTATCCATCTGACAAACTGGCTTTGACTTGCCTTCCAGAGAACTGGAGAAGACTGTGCTGTGGGATCCCGAGGCTAGCTGGAATGGACCTTGAGGGGTATCCAATCCCCAGCCCACTCCCCCATTTTACAGAGGAAGAAACTGAGAATCAGCCCGAGGTCGCACAGGCTGGAAATTCCCGCACAGGCTGGGAATTCCCGCATAGGCTGGGAATTCAGCACGTCCTTCCTGTGCTGTCCCATGCTTCTTTCCCCAGACGGTGCACTAGCCATCATAGTGTCCAAATGTATTTAAGATTTACGGTTTGCAAAGTGTTTTCCCCAAATGCTTATCGCGTGTGTCTCTACTGAGAGTTCGAGTGGTAATGGCCGTGGAGGTGAGAGCCTCACTTGGAATCGGCAAAGTGGGAGCACTGAGAATTTCTTGATGATCTCCCCAGATTGGTGTACAGAAGGCCTCTTATGATAGATTATCGTAGGGTCATCGACTTAGAACTAGAGGGACCCTGGAAGCCATCAAGTCCAAGCCCCCCATTTTATAGGAGAGGAATAGCGGCTCAGAGGTCACACAGCCAGTCCATTTCAGAGGTCAGATCTGAACTCAGAGCAAGGCCAGCTTTCTTGTCTCCCTCTCATACTCAGAAAGTGATTCTTAATGTGAGTTGTTATTATAAACAGGAAAACGGAGCCAGCAGACAGTAGCAGAAGCACAGTGTAGACCAAAAGATAGGAAGCTAGTGTAGACATGGAGCCTGAGTTCAAATCCCAGATGTTTTGTTTATTACTTTTTTTTGTTTGTTTGAGGCAATTGGGGTTAAGTGACTTGCCCAGGGTCACACAGCTAGTAAGTGTCAAGTGTTTGGTCTGAGGCTGGATTTGAACTCAGGTCCTCCTGACTTCAGGGCCGGTGTTCTATCCACTTGTTTATTACTTCTGTGACCTGAGTTTTCTAAGCCTTAGTTTCCTGAGCTATAAAATGAGGGGGAAGGTTGAGCTAGATGACCTCCAAGGTCCCTCCTGGTTCTGGACCTGTTACTTGTTATCAGTATGACCTTAGACAAGGCACATCACGCATTTCAACTTGGGTTAAAACAAAAGGTAAACAGTATAAATCAGATCTGATAATGTCATGATTTTTTTTCAACCCCTCCTCATTTACAAATGAGGAAACTGAGATCCAGAGAGGTGATGTAATAGTCCGAGGTCACACAGATAGCGAGTGGCCCAGTGGGGATTCAGGTTCTCTTCTTGTCTTGTCCATCCCCCAATGGTGCCTCCCTTTCCCCTCCTCCCTCAAGGGTAGGGGCAGGGAAGGTTTTCCATAAAGAAGATGTAAAGCCTCATTTCTCAAAGTAAATGAAATCAGCCTCTCAAGAAGGGACAATTAGGGATATGTGTTCCCTCAGTCCAAGGCTTCATTACCTATACTTGTTCTAAGCATCCCCCCACAGACACACCCATATAGGGACTTAAAAAAAAAGGATTCCTCATTTTTTAAAATCCTGAGAGGCCAAGTTGTGTGGGGTAAGGGACTTTGGGTAATTGAGAGTTTAGGGTTTCCTGTTGAGGAGAAAATTTCCTTTGTCAGATGAAGAAATCACGTTTGCCTCCCCCTGCTCTGGTTGTAACTTCTTGTAGCGGTTTTGCACTGTGCTTACAACACTTTCTCATTTATACTAGCTCACTTTCTTTATGAGAATAGAAGGGAATGTCTTGTCCTTCTTCCCTTCCCCCCAACAAGTAGGGAAACTGAGGCGTGGAGAGAGGAAGTTGATTGATCAGTCAGTGGCAAAATAGGTTGGAACCTTGAGCTCCCAACCTGGTGGTATTATGGCTGGTTTTTCATGAGTCTTGGAATTGCTTTGGTGGAGGGAACTCCCTCTAGCAGGGCAGATCAGCACCTGCTCTGTAACTGTTAGTCTTACATGATCTGGGGCATGGGGAGGTTAAAAGACTTCCCAGCATGTGTCACAGGCTTGACTCAAACCCAGTACTCCTGATTCAAGGTTTGTTCTCCACCCATCATGGCACACTGCCCCACTTCAACCTCACCCACCCCCATACACTAAATAATGGTGTCTCCCAATGAATCACAATCTCAGAATAGCAGGAAATTTCAGAGGTTATCTCTCGTACCTGCATAGGAATTCTCTCAAAACGATGTGTCTGACAAAGGTCATTCAGCAGCCCCTTCCCTTTTGAAAAACTCAGATTTTTAGGAACTTTCTCCTTATGCCAATTCTAAATATGCTTTCCTGCACCTTCCCTCCTTGGTTCCCAGTTCTGCCCTCCTTGTGTGCCAAGCTGTAGCATGACATCCTTCTGCATGACAGCCCTTCAGATGCCTGGGGCACTTCCTCCCAGAATGATTTTCTTCTCCAGGATAAATATCCCCAGGTCCTTCACCTGAGCCTTCCAAGGCACAGATTGCCAATCCATCATGGTTGCCCTCTTCTAGGTGGCCTCCATTTTGGCAATGCCTTTTCTGAGATGTGGTGCTTAGAAGCTGCAGTGATGGATGCAAATACAGTAGCCAGTGGTTTTCCACTAGATTTTGCCCCCTCTCCCCATCTCTCTTTTTCTCCCCCCCGTCTCATTCTCCTCCCCATCTCTTTCTCTCACCCTGTCTCTTTCCCCCCTCTTTCTCTCCCCCATTTCTTTTTTCTCCCCACTTTCTCTTCCTCCGTCTCTCTCCCTCCTTTCTCTCCTTTTCTGTCTCTCCCCCTCTCTCTTTCTCCCCCCCCTTTCTCTCCCACATCTCTCTCTCATCTCTCTCTGTCTCTTCCTCCCCTCTCTCTTTCTCTCCCCTCTCTCTCTTTCTCTCCCCTCTCTCTCTTTCTCTCCCCTCTCTCTCTTTCTCTCCCTCCTCTGCCCCCTTCTCTTTCTCTTCCCTCCCTCCCCACTTCTCTCTCTCTCCTTTCCTTTTTCTCTGCCCCTCTCTTTCTCTCTTTCTCCTACCCCACCCCTCTCCCTCTCTCTTCCTCCTGCAGTCTCAATCAGAATGTGCCTTTCTCTCTCCTGGGATAATAACTCATAAGAGCTGACTACTTCTACCATATGTGCCTGGGGAAAGGCAGTGGTACATTAGGGAGAAGTAACAATTCAGTTCAGAGGAGAAATGGTGATCAGGAAAGATAGATTTTCCTTCAATGCCTCAGTTTGATCTCTGGCATCCATCCAGCTTGAGTGATCTTGACAGCTTCTCTGATACCACAGGTAGGAGGGGGATGTTGTGGGGTGTGAGCTGTGGCTGGGGGGGATTCTCTCGGGGTGAGGCTTAGGAGAAGTAAAGAATGGCCTTTTCTTCCAGGTGAGTCCTCAGGATGTTTGCCAAGGCCACCAGGAATTTTCTGAAAGATACTGATCCAGGAGGAGACTTGATCCCAGTGAAAAGCTTGAATGACTCAGACAGGTTACAGCTTCTGAGTTTGGTGGTGAAGAAAAAAAGGTTTTGGTGTTGGCAGAGAGCCAAGTACCAGTTTTTATCAGCCACCATCAATGACATCCTGACCAAAGATCAGTTTCTGAATCCAGGTAAGGCACCCGCGATGGCCTTGAATGCAGGGATGGGGGCTTTCCTAGAGGGAAGGTCAAGGTCCAGAGGGAAGGGCAGGGCTTCATCCAGCAGCTGGGCCTGTCAGCATCCTCAGAGTCAGCCAGGAAGCGTCTAGAAAGGCCAGCCACAAGCAAATAACAACAACAAAAATCCCGAGAAAGGACATGCCCTCTGCTGTACCCTGTGCCCCAAAGGAGGTACAAAGATAATGAAGAGGCCGTCTCTGTTCTCAGCAAGGGAGTCATATGTGCTTTTGATTTCTCAGTGAAGCAAGGGCAATCACATCATCCGAGTTGGGAATTTTATGATGCTGGCAAATAATTATGTGTGTATACATGCTCATATGTGTGCATACACATGTGCTATACACACAAACATGCTGCATATAACACATATATGCAGTGTGCAGTATTTATATGTGTACATATGTATGTGCATGTGTGTACATATACCTATACATTTTTTTTCCTCTTCATCTAGGACAGGGGTTCTTTTTTTTTATAATTAATTAATTTATTTTTAATTTTCAACATTTACTTCCGTAAGATTTTGAGTGGCCACAGGGATGTGGGGAGGAGAGAGTTGGGAGAGGAGTCCTTAGAGGTTGGGGAACAGGTCCCCAAAGTCCAGGGCTGGGAGCCTGGGAGATGGTGTTGGTCCAAGATGAGGGGCCTGGTTATTCTCCAAATTGTGGTTCAGGCAGTGAATGATGAAGCCTCAGCAGGACTTTATCATGAAGATTAGTGGAGATAAGGGATTCCCTGCCTGGGCAGAGGTCAGGGAGATATAAATCTGCAAAAGTATTTATCAGAATTGAGGTGTTTGTGAAAGCTGTGTCACCTGGGGAGAATCAGCGCTGAACAGAGCTGATGGGAATCATGAAATTGTGCTGACTGGATCCCCTACAAATTAATCTTGCATCCTCTTAACTGGGCCTTCTCTGTAGCCAGACTCTTTTATTTTTCCCTAATAGATTCCTTATCTCACTCTCCTAGGTATCTCTTCCAAACTTTTCTCTCCTTTGATCTCTACAGCCACCCCATCACTCACCTTCTCCACTGAGAACCTGGCCTCATATATGACTGAGAAAATTGAAGCCTTTACCAAGAGCTCCCTGTTCTCCTCTCTACCCCCTCCTACATTACCCAGGTGCCTTCCACCATTATCTCCTTCTCCCATCTCACAAGCAGAGGTGGCCCTTTTTCTTGCCAAGGCAAACCCCTTTGTGCATCCTTGATTTCATCTCTTCCTGTCTTCTCATAAGATTGTCCTTACTATCATCTCCACTCTCTTATCTTCATTCTCTCCCCAAGCTCCTTCCCTGCTATCCACTAACAGATCTTCCCCATCCTCAAAAAAAAAAAACAAACAAAAATCCTCCCTTGTTCCATCCATTCCCCCCCAGATATTGTCCCATATCTTCTCCCTTTTGTTGGTAAACTCCTTGACAGGACCATCTACACTAGATATCTCCTCTTCCTCTCCCTCTCTTCTTAACTCAGTAGTCTGGCTTCCAGCCTCATTGTTCTATCAATACTGCTCTTTCCAAAGTTACTGATGATCTCTTATTGCCAATATCAGTGGCATTTTCTCAATTTCCATCCTTCTGGGCCTCTGTGCAGCCTTGGACACTGTCCACCACCCTCTTCTCCTGAACATTCTCTCCTCTCCAGTGACACTGCTCTCTCTTGGTTCTCCTCCCACTTATCTGACCCCCTCCTCCATTACCTTTGCTGGATTATCAATCAGGTCATGCCATTAGCTGTGGCTGTCCACCAAAGCTCTGTCCTGGGTTCTTCCTCTTTCCTTTTATGTAATCTAATTTGGTGATGCCATGGATAGATGAGAGATGGGGGGTCAAGGATGATGCCAAGGCTGCCAACCTGGAAGACTAGAAGGACAGGGAAGTTCCAAAGAGGTTTTGGGGGGAAAGTTCAAATCCTGTATGGACATGTCTATGGGGCAACCACTTTTGAGGGTTCGGTAGGCAGTTGGTTATGTGGTTTTAGTTTTGTCTGTGTCCCCAGTGCATGTACCAGACACCTAGCCCAGCATTTTACACATAGTAGGTCCTTCATCAATGCTTGTTGATTGACTGATTTTTAGAAGAGGGTCAGGGGAGAACTTTCTTCCCAAAGTAGGCTAGACCAAGTGATTAGGATGATGACCCAGCAGCCAGGGGTTTCAGGGTGGCAGGCAATGCCCTTCCTTTTCTCCCTGACAGTCTTCTGCCTAGACCCTCCCAGCCTCCCCCATTGAAGATTACTACCCAGACTGCTGGGCAGGTGTCCAGTTGTCCATTAGGATAGACAAAGGGAGAAGTGACGAGGCCAGTTGTTCTTGCACCAAACACCCAACTAACAGGTGTTGATATGAATCTCAGCCTTTATCTTTTTCAAGCCTCTTCCTGTCATTGGAAGGAGGGAATGAGTTTTTAAAAAATTTTTTTTCAGTAATAGAATACTACTGTGCTATAAGAAATGATGAGCAGGCAGACTTCAGAAAAACCTGGAAAGACTTATGTGGTCTGATGCTGAGTGAAGTGAGCAGGACCCAGAGAACATTGTACACAATAACAGCCACACTGTGCGATGACTAACTTTGATAGACTTTGCTTTTCTCAGCAATTCAAGCATCTAAGACCACTCCAAATGGATGGAAAATGCTGGAAAATGCTATCTACATCCAGGAAAAGAACTGTGGAGTTTGAATGATTGAACCATACTATTTGCTCTTTTTTTTCTTCTATTTTGTTTTGTTTCTTTTTTCTTGTGGTTCCTCCTATTGGTTCTAATTCTTCTTTACAACATGACTAATGTGAAAATGTGTTTAATAGGATTGTATTATGTAGAGCCTATATCAGATTGCGTGCTGTCTTGGGCAGGGAGGGGGAGAAAATTTAAAACTCAAAAGCTTATGGAAGTGATTGTTGAAAACTAAAAATAAATAAATTAATTAAAAAATTATTTAGTACTTATTATATGCCAAGATATGTTTGTCTGAAGCTCCGGTCATCCTTTGTTTCCTTCTAGTTGTGGTTGAGTCAGACTTTGTGACGTATGAGGGGAAGTTTGAGGATGTCTTGAAGGGCACCGTCGAGACCGCCTTGGGGAGGCTCTCCCTGAACGCCGGAGGAGCAGGCTTGGTGGAGAGCCAGTCTTCCTTTGGGACGCTGCGGAAACAGGAGGTGGATCTACAGCAGCTCATCAGGGAGGCTGTGGATAGGTGGGTGAGGAGGAGTCCCCAGGAGTTTGGGTGGGCATCCCCAAGTCTTCTGGAGTCGGGGGACCTGGATTCAAATTCTGCCCCTGATGTGCTCTACTTGTGTGAATTTATTTATTTATTTATTCTTGCTTTTCTTTTTAATAACAATAGCGAACCCCTGTCTAGGGCTTACTCTGTGCCTGGCACAGTGCTGCATGTTCTACAATTATTATCTCATCTGATCTTCACAACAACCTTGGGAGGCAGGTGCTGTTATTGTCTCCATTTTACAGATGAGAAAAATGAGGCAGAGAGATTGTGTGACTTGCCCAGGGTCACGCAGCTACTGAGTGTCTGAGGCTGGATTTGAACTCAGGTCTTCCTGACTTCAGGCTCAGCACTCTATCCCCTGTGCTACCTAGCTGCCTCTATAGTTCTAAAGAATGACGAGTTACTACCAAGCACTTTAGTGTAGATAGGGCTAAATGGCTCAGTGGATAGAGGACAGGGCCTGGAGTCAGGAAGACCTGAGTTCAAATCCAGCCTCAGATACTTACGGTGTGACCCTGGGCAAGTCATTTCACCCTGTTTGCCTCAGTTTCCTCATCTGTAAAATGAGCTGGAGAAGGAAATGGCCAACCACTCCAGTATCTCTGCCAAGAAAATCCCAATGGGGGGCAGCTAGGTGGCACAGTGGATAGAGCACCGGCCCTGAAGTCAGGAGGACCTGAGTTCAAATCCAGCCTCGGACCAAGCACTTGACACTTACTAGCTGTGTAACCCTGGGCAAGTCACTTAACCCCAATTGCCTAAAAAAAAAAAAGACAAAACAAAAAAAAGAAAACCCCAATGGGGTCATGAAGAGTCAGACATGACTGAAACCATTGAATGACAACAACAGCCTGACTTCAGCAGTCCTAGCTTTGGAATTTACCAGCTCCATGACTGTGAGCAAACTGCTTCCCTCGCTGAGCCCCAGTTTTCTCATCGGTAAAATGGAGATAGCTGTCTATCTCTCAGTACAGCTGGGAGGAAAATGCTTTGGGAATGATGGGTAAGTAAGTGGGAGCTTGTCTGGGGCCTTCCAGTCTGCTGCCTAGATGTCGATCGCCTCGGTCCAAGGTGGCCAGAGTGGTCTTTGAGCGTCCCTCGCTGGGCCCTCCTGGGTGTGTTTGTGTCCCAGGCAGGTGCACGAGCTTCCTTTGCTTTACTGCCTTCCCAGGCTGCTGAGTCTCATAAACCCCCGGCAGTCAATAACTCAGGTGTAAAGGTGGAAAGTCTGTAATTGCCAGGTTATTTTCTCTTCCTCTCCCTTCGCCATTGTGTGTGAAAGAGATAAGCTCCGGGAGCTGGGCTGCGGGCCAGGTAGAGCCCGTCCTTGCCTGGGAGAGGTCGGTGCCTAATGTGGCTAATAAGGAGTGATGGGCCTTCCAGGGGAGCTCTGAAAGAGTTACCCAATCCCACCTGCAGTTGAGGGAGAGGGGGGAAGGGGGAATGCTTTCCCTCATCATGAAGACCAAATCACAGACCTTGGGTCAGCTGGTCCAACCTACACGTGAACAAGAAACCTGTCGGCCACAATCTCCTCAGTAACTCAGACTTCATTTACAGACCCCCATGAGGGAAGGACCCATGACCTCCCAGAGGCACCCACTTCTCTTTGGTTTAACAGCTATGAGTGTTAGGAAAGTTTTCCTGACCTCGAGCCTCAGTTTAGCCTTTTTGAAGTTTCCACTCATTGGTTTGGCCTCTGGGGCCAAGCAGAGCCAGCTCATCTTCTTCCACAGGCCTGGGCTGCTGTGGAGCTCAGTCCTAAGCGCCCTCTGAACCAAGGGATTCTTGTGTTTTTGCAGAGTATATCCTAGTGATAATAGCCAAAGCCATTGCTTTTTTTTATTGTTTTTTTTTTTTGTTCAGTCATTTCAATCATGTCTGACTTTCTGTGATCTCATTTGGGGTGTTCTTGGCAAAGATAATAGAGTGGTTTGGCATTTCCTTCTCCAAGTCATTCTACAGATGAGAAAACTGAGGCAGACAGGGTGAAGTGACTTGCCCAGGGTCACACAGCTGGTAAGTGTCTGAGGCTGGATTTGAACTCAGGAAGAGGAGTCTATTGGACTCCAGGCCTGGTGCTCCGTGCACTATCAGCACCACCTAGCTGCCCTGCTGCTTACTTAAAGGCTTGCCTTTGTTGTCTCAATTACATTGAAATAGATTATCAAACCATTAAAAACTAGTGTGACAGGATCTTTGAGCCCGAGTATTGCTGCTGAAGGTTTGTAGATGAGGAATCTGAGGCTCATGGCTAGTCGGTGCCAGAAGTGGGATCCTGACAACCGGTGCTGTCATATCTCTTGGCCTCCGGGCGGGAGAAACAGTATGGGGGTGGGGCAGGATTTTGAGATACCCCTGCTAAAGCACCAGCTGTTCTGCTGGGCATTGGTGTAGGGTCCCCAGATGGAGAGAGATTTTCCTTAAAGGGCTAGACAGTGAGTCTTAACCCAGATAGCTCACAGATAGTGTTGATTTTAAAATTTTTGAAAGGATTTTCATAAACCAACTAAAAGAGGCATTTCCATATACATAGCAGAATTATAAAAGAGATTGTACATGGCCACGCAGCTCTGGTACGTACAGAGGTTGGCTTTTCTCTTTACGTAGATCACAAGCTTAACACATAAGAGAGAACACTGGGAGAGCTACATCCACCTCAAAAGTTGTAAATTTTCTCCAACGAGCTCATTCTCCACATCTCTTACTGACTAGAACCTCTCCCCTTTCCTGTAGTGCCTCATACTTTGTCTGTTCCTTGGTCTTTACACCACACTGGATGATATGGAATCCTCAGTGGAAAGAGCCCCTGGATGAGACAGGAAATCTCATCTCTAGTCCTGGTTCTGGCGGTCACAGGGTGGGTGACTTTGGAGGAGTCATTTCCCTTCTCTGGGCCTCAGTTTCCTAAAGTGTAAAACGAGCAGATAAGATGAGTTGATCTGAGACACTGGCCACCCCCAACTTTCTCTTGATGACTTTCACAAACAAGATGGCTTGGAATTTGGTGTTTATTGTTCTATTGTTTTCAAACATTTGGTAACTAAGCTAATACTAGCCTGATCTCTCTGAATGGCAGTGGCCACAGTCAGCCTCCTCCCTCCCTGACTAGGCTGCCCGCTTAACCACCCTCACCTGGTCCCCGTTAGTGAGCTGTTGCCTGGGACCCCACCGTGCTTCCACTCAGATCCAGGTGGACCTGAGGTGGTGTGTACGGGGGCAGGGTTGGCAATAGGATGGCACGGTCAGGGAAGACCTCTAGCTCCCTCCCCCCCTCCTCCAACTCCAATACTCCTGCTCCTTCCAGCTGCTGGATAACTTGAGTCTGGTTTTGCTTTGAAAAGTGGTCTTGGGAGGACCTGAGTTCAAATCTGACCTTAGATACTTGACGCTTACTACTGTGTGACCCTGGGCAAGTCACTTTACCCCCATTGCCTCACCAAAAAACAAAAAGAAAAAAGAAAAAAGAAAAAAAAGTGGTCCTTAGTCCTTTTTGAAGGATGTGTCCCCATCTGGCATTTCTGAGTGACTTTGTCCTTATATTCCATGGAAGGCAAGCCCCTTGAGGGCAAGGCTGTCACTTTTTTGTCTTCATATCCCAGGTGCCAAGCACATGGTAGGTGCCTAATAACAATTTATTGATTGGTTATTACTGGGTCATAAGTAGAGATGTTTAACCTGGAGTCTGTGGACTTTTTAATAACTATTTCAATATAATGGTTTCCTTTCTAATCCTCTGTATTTTATTTTATGTATTTAAAAACCTGATTCTTAGAAGGGGTCCATAGACTTGACCAGGCTGCCAGAGGTCTATGATGCCCCTGGTCTGAAGGAAAAAAGAAAAGATGAAGGACCAGGAGAGAGCCTTCTCATTCCTTTGAAAATCCCTTCCATGTTTACAATCCGATAGAAAACTCTTAGGAAACCTTACAAGGGCCAAGAATGAGAGAGGAAAAGAGGACCCTGGTCTAAAGGAACAGAAGGAAATGGGAGATGGGTGTCCATGACATCCAGTGGGAGAAGGGGCCTGTAGCTGAGTGAGGAACCTGGAGATGCAAGGGCTGGACTTATATCCTTGGCTTTGAGATTTTGGGTAAACTATGTGACCCTGCTGGGCCATGGAGGAAATGGCCCCCATGGAGGGGCATGGACTAGATGCCTCCAAGTTTCCTTGGCTGTTGAGATCCACCATCCTGTGGAATTCTGGGGGCACAGGAAGGGGGGCTTATATAGTCAGGGGGTTGGAGAAGAGGACTTTCATTTCTCAGGGTTTTCAGTGGGAAACCAACTGAACAAAGACATAAACTAGGTAGCCCTCTAAGCTGACTATCTGAAGCCAGCCTCTTTTCCAAAAAAAATATGCTCATAAACAGCGGTAGTCCTCCCAGACTGGTACACCCCACTCCCCTTTGGCCAAAGAGTTGGATGGTGGAATGGGTCACACTCAGAGGAGCTGAATCTGATCAGATGCTAAGGGGGAAATGGTGAGTGCAGTGTAAGAGAGGAGGGTGCTAAGTGGGGGTTAGTGGGAGGGGATCTTGTATTGCTCTGGGTGCCACCATGTTTGTGCCAGGGGGGCAAGGCAGAACTGTCACAGAAGCTGGCAAATGCAATTTGATATCCCTGAGGTTCAGTGGTAGAGTTTTAGGACTCTGATTAGAAGGGTTTTCATACAGGATGGGGACTCTGTTGATGGAAAATTGGAAGAGGCATCAAGAAAAAGGTTGTGCCTGGGAACCAGCTGGATGGGGTCATGTTACAAATAAGTCACAGGTAAAGGAAAGGATGGGGGCTAGCTCTGTGCACTTTGGGGTTGGAGTGGTGAAATTCTGTGAGGTTAAGATCCTGGAATTTATAGTCTTTGTTGCTAAGCTTTGTTAGAACGATATCCTGAGTTTGGAAATGTGTTCTGGTCCCGGGGCCAGAGCTAGAGGTTGGCATGGTGGGTAGCCTCCCAAGTATGCAACATT